AGGGACGTAAAGTAATGTCTATTTTATTTAATTGCTTGAGTAGACAACCTGTTTCTGTGATGTGATAATACTACTATAAATTAGTATATTTGAAACCCAAGCTACCATATATTGGATTTTTTTTCGCACATGGGAATACCCAACTTTAGAATCCTGGCTCCGCCACTGCCGTGGACTCAGGCCGAATGATTGCAATCGGTGTTGTGCACGTATTTTAAAGCAAAGCAAAGGCTACTGATCAACACGATTGGGGTTCAACCAATTCCACTAACCTAAAGCCGATACTAACAGCGACCTAGCAAAGCAATCGTCATGATCAGAGAGCAACCAGAGAGGGAGATAAAAGGATTCCAACATGAGTTCGTCGCGCTGAACGTCGGTTCACGAACAGAACGCTAACAACATGGTCTACAGCTCGCTTCAACGAAGTTTAGGCAATTTTTGCAACGCCAACGCAAAACCAAACTAGTCCATGAACTACACCATGTTAAGATACTCGTTATTGTGTAACCAACAGTATAAAAACAAGGATCTAGTGTTTAAGAAATTTCATTAAAATTTAAATGCCAAAACGATATCGTCATTAGGTTTTCAGACTTAGGTCATTTTAGTTCTAGAAGCTGAAATTGAATTCCAGATTTAATTCTCGAGCTATCAAAAATACTATTGAACAACATCTATTCACCAAAACAAAAGTTGCATTTTCATCTACCAAACTTGTAATTTAAATTTTATTTAAGTACTAAATACAAGTTATATTTTATTTTTTGTTTATAAAATTGTTTTCATGCTTAATCAAATAGGACAAGTCACTCACTATTTATTTGCTAGAATTGCTATCAGGCATTTCAACCACTTTCTTCATACTTTTCCAAAACAAACCCTAAATAACTTTTGTTCCCAAGATTATTTAAAAGCTTTTAAGTACTAAAGAAAAATTGATTAGCAACACTTATTTGATTCTTTTATTCACAAAAGTAAGTCACACCAGGTTCACCTTACCATTTCATGTGAGAATTTATTTTTAAAATCCTGGAAAACATATGCGCTAGGGTTTATTAGGCCTTAACCTCAGTGCTAATTAAGTCCGTAACACCAGGGGTGTTACAGCGATGAGGAAGTTGACATAGTCGACACGGAAGTGCTTCGTGATGCCGAACTGGACCGGCAGTGTAATCTATCCCAAGGGGAGGGATGCCTTCCGAGGAACGATCCCCAGAACGGAGAGTCCATGTGGGTGAGGTTTTCCTTCTTGACGCGTAGCTCCTCCAGAGATCCAACGAAAAGAATGTGGACAGCGCTCCCTCCGTCGATGAGGACCTTCTGGAAGCGCACGTCTTTGATTATAGGATCCAGGACGAGTGGAAAATGCCAGCGGGGAGTGATGCTTGGCGAGCAGCGAATCCTTCGTGTTCAGCGTTGAATCGCCGGTAACGCTCCATCTCTACCTTGCAGCGTGTGGACCTGTTGTTTTCGATGCGGTCATGGGCATCCGCACTGGCGTTAAGGTGATCGCGAAGGTCGCGAAAGGCAGGTTGATTGACCTCCTACATGCGGTTGTCGCCCCGACCTCCTTGGGACGTGGTGGGCAAGCGTCGTGGCGTGAATAGGCTTCATAGTTGCCCCTAGATCCTCTATAGAGGTAGGGGCCTCCAGCCTGAGGTCGAGGGGCGTTGGTGCCATGATGTTGGCTTCCTCCATCGCGGCGGGAGCGACGGCTATGAGCCGACACTGTGGAGTAAGACGATGCGTCGTTCTGGAACTCGTTGACCTGGACTTGTGAAACTATGATGTGGGCACGAACCTTCTCGACCTTAGGAGTGTGAGGGAGTTTGTCGAGCTCGTTTAAAGCGACATCGAGATTGGCGCTTGGAGTCTGATAGACTGGTTGATCGCCAACCATGTCAAACACTTCTTCTAGATTACGTTGATGGCGGGGTGAGCCACGACCATCCTCGGCTGTCGCTTGGACTACTTCTGCATCTCGGCGACATTGGCGATCGGCGTTCTTCACCAAACAAGCTTCACGCTCATCAGCGGTTTCGTCGTCCTTGGTAACACTATCGTGGCTGACGTGAAAATCATGCCTCCGAACCCCAGAGGGAAAGTAGGGCAGCTCGGCACGATCTGGGTTGAGCCCTCAAAATAATCGTCAGGGGTCTCGTCCAAAATGTTGTGGAGAGACTCAGTCGAAAGATCGGGATCATCCGAAAGCTGACAAATAGCCACCATGTTGACCGTGGGCGCAGGCTGACCAGAGTCAGTTGGGTCGATCATGTAGAGATCGATGGCATGGTCGTGCACAACGTGGGTGATGAAGATTTGGTGGACGGCATTCTAGTACGTAGATCCCGCACCCTCTAGCCCAAAAGGATAGGGCCTCGGCAGGTTCTCCGTCAGGGCCTCGTAGTTGGCCAAGCGTAGGCCGGTAGCGGGAAGTGGTCGGCGCCACGCTGTGTGCCCCTCTAGAGTGGCCGTGATCACCAGATCGGAATCTGGTCGCCTCAAACGGTGTGGACGAGAAGGTCGCTCGGTCGCAGCGACTTGGTGATCTTGGAGTGCAGGAAAATCATCGCTCGCTCTAGATCGATCTAGGACCGAATTCACGAGGAGTTGGCATTCTGTTAGGCGATCTGTGACCCGATCGATAGATGCGATCAGGACGTCGTTGCTGATGGATCCCCTGACCCAGCGACGTGGCGTCGGGATCGGAGATGTCATTGCTGGTGTCAGCGTGATCGGCGTAGGGTGGTCCTGCACCACCTCCACGATCTTCCCGTTGCCGTCGGAGCCGATGACCTAAGTCATGGATCCAACCGTAAAGATTTGGCCTGGCTCGAGGGGGGCCATGGAGCTTGGGAAGGTGACCATCTGGTTCGCCATAAATTCAGCACGCACACCCCCTACCTGGCGCGCCACTGTCGACGAAATCTGGTCGACAGTCTACCGAGGGGTATGCCCACGGTAGTAGGTTAATCGGTGGAAGTGCGCGTGAGGGAACTGGATGGTGACATAGAACGCAAGAGACAACGATTTAGACAGATTCAGGCCTTCGGCTCGACGTAAGACCCTACGTTCTATGTCTTTGTGGATTGTATTGCGTATGATTAGGTAAAAACGAGGGGGTCCCTACCTATCTTATATAGCTTGGAGGTAGGGTTACAGATCGGTTATTTTCATTCTGATCGGTTTACAAGATAGGAAGTTACAGATCATACAATGTCTATCGTATACGAGCAAATTTCGTAGATTACCGAGAATCTTTATGTTGCCTTGTGAAGCACGTCGTTCTGCAGCATATTTCACTTGACGTTGTCTTGCGAGCTAGACCTCTACCATTGGCGTGACCCGTGCATAGTCTTGTGAACTGAGCCTCTCCTAGCGGCTCGGCCCACGTAGATTCTCGTAGGTACCGTGGGTCGTACCCAAAAGTACCCTTGCACCCTAATGACTGGAACAACAGGCCGGCCTGCCTGTGTACCGGCTGATCCCCGGCGTTCCGTGAGGTTCCGGTCGTTCCGTCCGGAATTTGCTGTCTCGTATATCTTGCTACCGGTGTTAGTGTGCCTTTTCTTGTCGGCGCTGGGTATGTGAGGGTGTGTTTGGCGTGTGCTCCAGCTGTTCTTGGTGCAAAAGTAGGACATGCATGGCATTTTACCCCTGCCCCCTGTACAAGATGGTGACGCGATGGAAAACAAATTATTCTTTAGCATCAATTCAGCACTACAGTGAGGACGCTGACAAGTAAAAGTTGGAATTTATGGTATGTTCCTTTGTAAACTTAAATAAAATAAACAAGCAGGTTGATTTTATTTATGTATATCCGAAACGGTACACCGGTATCGTCCGGTACCCAAACATTCCATTCTAAAGAGAGAACCGGAATAGAATTGACAAGCTAAAAAATCTCATTGCGGTTAGAATCAAAATTTGAGGGAAACTAAATATGAAAAAAGAGAGAGAGAAAACCGGAATAGAATTGACAAGCTAAAAAATCTCCTCTGCGGTTAGAATCAAAATTTGAGGGAAACTAAATATGAAAAAAAAGAGAGGAGAAAACCGGAATGGAATTGACGAGCTCAAAAAAATCCTTGCGGATTTGTGGGAAACTAAATATGAAAAAAAAAAATATGCAACCAGGGCCCAACCGGGTTCGAACCGGTGACCTATTGATCTGCAGTCAATTGCTCTACCACTGAGCTATGGACCCTTTGTTGAAAATGGGCACAAATAGGAATATTCATACAAATCAAATAAATACGACGCAGAACAGTTTCGGAAACCAGCGGATCCTGCATAGTGGCATACTGGCATGCATCGGATGGCCCGATGCTAGATGCTCGGACGGCGGATGCGAGAAGTGAGTAGCAGTGCTCCGCCAATCACCGACGACGTGCCTTGGTCACAGTCACAGGAGTCCCCCACCGCGCGGCCAATATAAACGCGGGCCCCGCAACTCGGTGGGCAATTTTGGCAAACTCCCTGCAATAGCATGACTAGATAAGGCGGGCCCACCGTTGGCCAGCCCCACCTGTCATTGGTTCAAGGGGAGGTGAGGGAGCGGCGGCGGAGGAATTGTTTAATCCCCCGTCACCGTCTCCTCTCGCCATCACCCACATCCCCTGTTCCAGGCGCGAGCGCGACGTTGCCGGCTCGTCTCCGGCGTTCGGTGGCGGAGTGGAACGATCCCCGATTCCCACCAAGAATTCCATCGTTTTCGTGGCGTTTGGTGGCGTCGCGGGGCGGGCAAGCAGGACCAGGTACCCTCCCGGATCCTCCCAACCGTTCCGTTTTCCCCGGCCGTGCTGCCTCAATTCTGCGGCGTTGGCTGCCATTTCGGGCCAAATTTGTTGCGTGAAGCGGGGGATTTTGAATGGCACGCGTTCTTTCCAATCGACGCCCTCTTGGCTTTGCCTTGGCCGTAGGAAATTTCACAGAGGATACACGTGTGCGGGACGAGAGCTAAGCGAAGGAACCTATTTGGGTACCTCGCGGCGGAGATGGACGAGAAGGCGGAGATGGAGAGCAAGCTGTCCTCAGCGGCGGCGTTCGTGGAGGGGGGCGTGCAGGACGCCTGCGACGACGCCTGCAGCATCTGCCTCGACGCCTTCTGCGACAGCAACCCCTCCACGGTCCGCACATCGGCCAAATACTTTGGTTGCTTCTGAGTTCTGACCGATGCGCTTATCGGGCCTTTCATGTTCGTTGGTGCTGCTGTGTTCTTTGCAGATGACCAATTGCAGGCATGACTACCATCTCCAGTGCATTCTTGAATGGTAACGTCTCCTGATGCGTTATTCTTTTCTCCAAGAACATCTATGCCTTACCTTTTTGCCTGCAAATTATAAACCTTATGCAGTTTTGCCTGTTCTAGTTCTAGTTTATAACTGCATATTCTGCATTCTCTTGATCAACCTTCAGTGCATCGAGTTGTCTTGTATGGCATAAATTATGACACCAATCCCTGTGTTGCAGCATTTTATATTTTTCATTCATGTTTATAGCCTTAGTTACCAAAAAAAAACAAACCAAACAACTTCTCATCAGCTTTGAATTTATGAAGTAAAACTGTGCTTTGTCTAATGTTCTCATCTCAGTAATGCTTTTGTGACGCAGTTGATTGCAACTATCTTGATATGGCTTTAGTTTAAATACCTGCAGAATTTTCCTATTTCATGGTGATAAGCTAATCACAGTTTACATTCTTGCTCGTCAATGGATTAATAATGCACTAAAGGACAGTTCAAAAAAATAATGCACTAAAGGAGCAATAGTCTACCACATGATATGCAGGTGAATCATATATTCTATTTGTTTTCATTTTTCTGTAACTGGATTCAACCTGCCTATACAAGTTGGGAACACTGAATGATCGTACACAACATGTGCCTCTCTCTTTAGCATGGAGTTATGAAAACACATTGCAGAACATATGATTCGCGCCGTTGCATTATTTCAGCTGTTTTGTTCTTCTAGATGGTGGACTCCTGCAGAAATTCTTATTAATAACTTAGAAGTAGTTGACTGAACAAGTGTCCTGCTGGAAGTAGTTTGTGTCATGCGTGCCAGAACCTTAGTTTTGTTGGAGAAGTTCTTAGCATGAATATTCATCCATACTCCCTCCATCCTGTAATATAGTGCATTCTAGCATTCAAAATTTGTTCTCAAATATAATGCATTCTAGAGGACAAAAACCAGTTTTGCATTAAATACTTTCCATTTATCAACCAAGCACCATTAATCACGTTGATGATAACGTCTGATTATAAAATAATATGAGGGTACATGCGTCTTTTATCTTCTCTCTTAATTTGTCTTAAAATTCCTAGAATGCACTATATTACAGAGGGAGTAGTAAGCTCATGAAGCTAATGCCTGGCCACATGAATTTTTTAATGGCTTGTTATGGTGTCACAGATTTATAGGGATTTTTGCTGTAGTTTTCATGAAAAACAGAGTGGAGCTAAATTGAGTGTGTGGTTTCTGATACTGGAGTAAGACAGAAAGTAACATCCTGTGGTCAATCAACAATTCAAGAAAAAAAAATACATGTAACAATCTGTGCTGCATGCATGGAAAGAAAAACTAATCAAACAACTACCGAAACTACTACTCCCTCCATTCCAAATTTTAAGTCGTTTTAGTATTGTCCTAAGTCGAAGTTGCCTAACTTTGACCAAGTTTATAGAAAAATATATTAACATCTACAATATAAAATAAATGCACCACAAAAATATATTTCATGGTGTATCTAATGTATCTAGCATGATGTTGCAGATGTTTGTGCGTTTTTCTATAAATTTTGATATTAAATCTAGAGAAGCTTGACTTAGGACAAAGCTAAAACGACTTACAATTTGGAACGGAGGAAGTACTTTTGTTCACCATGTTTACAGTTCCCATTTGATGTGCTTGTCAATGTATATTCTAATTCTTGTAGTAATTTAGGTGCCAGAGAAGCTCCCAATGCCCCATGTGTTGGCAGCCTATCAGCATGAAAGATCCCATGAGGTGAAAATTGCAACCTCTATTCTGTCTTAACTCCTAAGGGACTGAATTGCTGGTTTTCACTTATTCTTGCGATGTTCTGCAGCCAAGAGCTACTAGAGGCTGTTGAACAAGAGAGGAACATCCGAGCTAATCGTTCACATAATACTGCTGTTTTCCACCATCCAATGCTGGGTGATTTTGAGGTGGGGGCATGTTTCGTCATGCATGTTTGCATGTTTGGGGAACTTTTCCAATAGCATTCACCTTTCTGCTATGAATGTACTTTTAACACACAAACTTCTGTTAATATCGCCATTTGTATTTCCAGATTCCTGTAGGTGCAGATGATGCAGAACTTGAAGAACGCATTATTCAGCACTTGGCTGCTGCAGCTGCAGTGCGTAGGTCACACCGTCATCATAGAAGAGATGGGCACCAGAGCAGATCAGGAGCAAGTAGCCACCCACAATTTCTGGTGCTTTCAGAAGACGAGGGCACAACCTCAGGTCAAGAAGGGGATTACGAACAAGCCCCTGTTGTAGTTTCTGGTCACCCTTTACGTACTCTTGTTGAACAAGAATGCACTCGAGGGTTAGTGGATGCTTCCAGTCCATCTCTCCGCTTTTCGACTCCTGCTGATAGTGCTCGTAGATCAAACAATAGGTACTTCCTACATCCTATGTATGACACTGCTTGTGCACTTCTCTTCACTATCATTGAATCCCTGTGCTTAGTTTTTACTATTATCTGTCAGGATTTCTGGGATTCAATCTACACCTGTGGATCAAGATGGAGCAGGACCGTCCGATTTACAATCAATCTCTGACAATTTGAGATCTCGTCTGCAGTCAGCTTCAATGAGGTACTGTACTAACCCAACGCATTAGAACTCCTGACAAATGGAGCACGGGCACGTGTCTTACCTGTGGGCATTTCTTGACAATGGTAGGTACAAGGATTCCATAACCAAGAGTGCAAGTGGATGGAGGGAGAGGTGGTTTTCTCGGAGTAACTCTTTATCGGATCTTGGTTCTGAGGTGAGGAGGGAGGTCAACGCGGGGATTGCTGCAGTGTCTCGCATGATGGAACGGCATGATGCAAGAGACGGGACGGGGCCTTCTGCTACCTCCGCATCAGGATCTGGTTCTCAGTGAAACACTCCTTGGTCCTTCAAAGGACGGATGCAACTGTAAAGGAAAGGTATAATGTGCTAATGTTGTGCAAATGAAAGCCTGAAATTCAGTGCTGTGTTAAGTTTTTCTAGTGGCGTACTGTCACTGTTGACAGACCTACGGATTTGAGTTTTCTGCAATTGTCTGGAGGCAATTCCATGGCTCCTATGTAGACTAGTCTTATAACCTTGTCACATAAATGATATGGTAGTTTCTGGCTGCTGCTGCTAAATATGAACTTGCCTTGCTTTCTCTGGCTGCTGCTGCTAAATAGGAACTTTTGCCTTTGCTTCAGGTCCAAAGGACAGAGTTGAGAGCACCTGAGATCCGGCGGCTATGCTTCATGCACGAGAAAGCAATACATGTGCTTCCAATGGAACAGAACATTCACACGTTTTTGCCCCTGCGTAGACACTTGCAAGGGTGGGTAATGCATGAGATGCCTGGTAAACACTGACAGTCTGAGTATTGCGTGGTTCCAGCTTATAACAACCATACATACAATACAAATGATTTTTGCAACTGATAAGCCGGCTGAAACTGATTTGTTGTGAAAGAAAAATATCGTTTCATGACTGATAAATTCAGACGAACAGGGCCATATCGTACCAAGCCCCCCAAGGGATCGTTTGTCATAGTGTTATATTGCAGCTGGGGCCACCATTCGATTTGGTTGCGCGATGCGTGCCGTTCCCCTGATTCGGCTGTCTGTTTAGCGTGCAAGGTTGAGGACCTCTGCACGACTCGTACACGGTAACTCCAGGCTCTTGTGGATGTTCCCGGAGGCCAGAGGCCGGAGGGTAGGGTAGCCGAGATCAGTTTGTTTGGCCAAAGGAATAGTCTAGAGGAGTTTTCCCAAGCCACCACACCACCCCAGTCCCCAGGAGGAATGAAAATTTGTCCTGGTGTCATCGGAGTGGGAGTTAAAAAATGCAAGGCGAGCTTTGACGGCAGGAAGACAATACAGCCTTCACGTGGCCAGCCCATCCCAATTCCTATTTCCCAGCCCAATTCCTATTTCAAGTTTTTCACTCTTTCTTCATCACACGGCAGGAAGATTAAATGTAGCCTTTGACGTAGGTTAGAGCAGGAAATACAACTAACACCCCACGTCTAAACGAGACCCAAGTAGAAGAGCAGGAAATACACTCATGCACGTGCAAGCCACACAGGCGATCGGTTCTCTTGTGAGCGTACGGATGCAGCCAGCACATAGGTGAGGGGCAAGAGCGACAAGTGACAGTCCCCAACAGAACCAGCAGTCGGTCAATCAAGACAGGGGAAAAGAAAGAGAGAGCAACTGAGCAAGCGGTGGGTCTACGCAAAAAAAAAAGGATCATCAAGCAGTCGATCGAGCACCAACTAACCAAAAGGTGCTGCTGCTTATTGCTTAAACAAACATCAGCATCAGCTCTCCCTCGCTCAGGTTCGCAGTTTAGTAGCTTGACGGCCACGAGGGCAAGGTGCGCGGACGGACGCGGTTGCGGTTGTGGTTGCGGTTGGCTTCCTGACTCGCCGTCTCGCCTGCCGGGGCCGGGGCCGCCCTCGCATGTTATCCCAAGTCCGCGACGTGGATGGAGGTGGAACCCCCGAACCCACCGACACCGACCGACGCTTTCCCCGTCGTCCCGCCCCGCGAGATGCAGATGCCAACGGTGGCAGATCGACACGACTCCCAGCCCGCAACGAAACGACCCGGCGTCTTCCTCGGCCGGCCTCCCGTTCGATAGCTTCGATCGCTTACCTTGCTCGCGCCGTATCCGTGATCACAACCGGACCGCCCCGCGCTGTTCCAGTACTACACTGTACACGAACTTTTTCTCCTAATAGCCCGGCTGTTCGTTGTTTGGTTTCTGGCCGATAAGTTCGACTGGGCTGACATGCAGGGCAGAGGACGCGCGAGGCAGTTGGCGCTGGTGTTTGGTGAGCGAGTCTGAACGGCATGTGAACGAATGGAGCTTACTACTTGCAGCGTGCGCGGTCCGTCAAAAATCATCAAAAGTAATCAGACGAGGCGCCCAAAGTATACAAGACGCGCCTTAGCTGGCGCTGTGGCGCATCATCAGAGCAGTAAACTGTGCGATGGAAAGGCACGTCGCACTGGAATTCGGAAGGCAGCAGCAGGCAGCCGGCAGGGAGTGAAGAAATCCGACGGCCGGCGGTAGCTTAGCGTGGAGACTAACCCACGTCAAGCGACCGTACCTGCCCGCGACGCCTCAGCCCAAACCATCTGGAAAAGTGACGCCTCACTTTACCCTGCACACTCTGCCTCTCCTCCCTATAATAATAATAATAATAATAACAAGTCAATACTTCAACAACCAAAAACGAAAAGAAACCCTTACTAATTGCTCGATGTAACGCAACACCTCGTTTACACGGTTAAGCAAGAGCGAGACAGCACTCGAGGCTAACATGGATCCGTCAAGGAGACACCAATACTCGTTTCTTCCAACTGCATGCTAATATAAGAAAGAAGAAATCATTTATTAGCACCCTCAACGGACCGAACGGACTAGTAGTCTCACAGGAAAACAAATCTCAATTGGCACACTCTCACTTCACCAACCTCATGGGGACTCCGATCACTAGGACCCAGTGCCATAAACTGGCACGAACTAAACTACACTCGACATGCAGCCTGTTTGTTGATTGGTTTCCTACCGATAAGCTCGATTGATACTGGTTTGTTGTGAGAGAAAAATATTATACCATGGCTGATAAGTCCCTGGTCGAAACCAACGAGCGAACAGGATGATGATCTGGAGGAATTGGATGCTCCTTTCACCGTGCAGGAGATTGAAACTGTCATTAAGGAAATGCCACGAGAAAAGACGCCGGGCCCTGATGGATTCATAGGTATCTTCTACAAAAAAAATGCTGGACCATTGTTAAAGATGATCTGATGCAGGCAATCATGTCTTTTTACGGTCACCGTACTTCAAGGTTAATCCTAATCAATGAAGCGAACATTGTGTTACTCCCAAAAAAACAAGACGCAATTTCTCTGACGGACTACAGTCCAATAAGTTTAATCAATAGTGTGGCCAAAATCATTACGAAGATTTTAGCAAGTAGGCTAGCGCCTCACATGAACTCGCTAGTCTCAAATGCTCAAAATGCCTTCATCAAGAAGAGATGCATACATGATAACTTCATTTATGCACAAAGGGTGATCCAGCTCCTCCACAAAAAGAAAAAACCGGCCCTCCTCGTAAAGCTTGACATCTCAAAGGCATTTGATTCAATAAATTGGAGTTTCCTATAGGAGGTTCTTGAAACTTGGGGGTTTAGCACCAAATAGAGGGACTGGATTGCTGCAATTGTAGGCACGTCCTCCTCAAAAGTTCTAATGAATGGACAACAGACTAAGGAGATTAAGCATGTGGGAGGGTTAAGATAGGGGGATCCTCTCTCGCCCTTGTTGTTCATACTAGCCATCGACCCGCTGCATCGAATCATTGAAGCCGCAGCACAACAAGGAATCCTGCAACCTGTGTTACCCAGTGGCAAATTTAAGGTGTTCGCTATATGCAGACGATGCTGCAATCTTTGCAGAGCCAAGCAACTTGGAATTGGACCACCTTCATAGGATCCTTCAATTTTTTGGGGATTGCTCGGGGCTCAAGGTCAACATCTACAAAACAGAAATTTTCCCTATTAGGTTCAATGAAAGTATGGTCCATCAGCTGATACAAAATTTCCCCGACAAAATATGTAAATTCATAGGGAAATATCTTGGGCTCCCCCTACATGTTAGGAAGTTAAGAAGGGTAGACGTGCAGCCATTGATACACAAGATAGGAGCCAGGCTACTAGGGTGGAAAGGTCGTTTCTTGTCTATCGCCGGCAGGGAAACACTAGTCAAAACCGTGTTATCATCGCAGCCGATCTATCATATGATCGTCTTCGACGAACACAAGTGGCTTATAAAAAAGATTGATAGACTAAGACGGAGCTTTTTATGGAGGGGAGAAACACCTGATAAAGCCTATGAGGGGCACTCAATTATCAACTGGCCAACGACCTGTCGTTCGAAAATCAAAGGTGGTTTGGGGATTTTAGACCTAGAACGCTTTGCAAGGGTGTTGCGCCTGCGTTGGCTTTGGTTCAGTTGGAAGCAGAGGGAAAGACCTTGGAACAAACTTGACCTCCCTTGTGATGGCAAGGATAAAGACCTTTTCGCAGCATCGACAGTGGTTACTATTCGTAATGGAAAAATGGCCAGTTTCTGGACATCATCCTGGATCGACGGGCAAACTCTCAAAATCATAGTGCCGTTGTTGTCAAGAAAAGCTAAAAGAAAGAACATCACGGTGCAAAAGGCCTTACAGGACAACCGCTGGATATCGCATATCACTCACATCCTAACACCGTAGGAAATACACGAGTATGTGACCCTATGGGAAACAATCCGCCAGATTCAGCTTGTTGCAAACAAGGAAGATAACATATATTGGTGCTGGACAGCAGATGGGGAATACACAACTAAGAGCACTTACAATATCCAGTTTCAAGGAACCTTCACTAAGTTGAGAATTATGCCGATTTGGAAGGCAAAGGCGGAACCCAAATGTAGATTTTTTGCCGGGACTTTGCTTCACAAAAAAAAACAGCCAACAACTTGATGAAAAAGGCAATGGCCAAATGACCCCATATGCAAGCTCTGTGGATCAGACCCAGAAACCCCAACGCACCTATGCAAGGATTGTGCCTTCTCAAAACAAGTTTGGTCTTTCCTGAAGCAATGGCTTGGGTTGTCTTTGCTAGACTCAGTCACACCAAATGGATCACTACATAACCATTGGTGAAGAAGCCACGCTAAGTTTCAAAAGAACTAGAGAAAGGTCTTCGATGGAGTAATGATCTATTTTTGGTGGAGCATTTGAAAGGAAAGAAATAGAAGAACTTTTCAGAATACGGCTTTACAACCAAGAGAAGTAGCGCTCATGTGCAAAGAAGAAATAGAACAATATCAGTTGGCAACAAGATTCAATGCACATGTCGCTTAGCTTTAGCGGGCTTAGTTCAAGATTGGGGCTTTTGTTATGGTTGAGGGGTTTGATAGTTTTTATCAGTTGGTTTCTCATTGCACTAAGTAGGGTGGTCGGCCTGCGGGCTGGGATAGTTGTGTTAGTGTGTTTATTTTCCTTTTTGTAATTTGCTTGTTTCTTCTTTTCATCGTCTAACAAAGATTCGACAAATTGGGCCTGTTCGCTTTGAGGAATTCTGGAGGAATTTGGATGGTTTGGAAGAATGCTTGATGAATTTGTGAGAAAAAAAACACTATTTCGAATAAAAAAAAAAGCAGATCAACCGGTTTAAGAACACGCGAACGGGCCAAAGCTCTCGCCGCCTTGTCCTGCGAGTGCCTTTTGGGTGCAGTGCAGTGCAGCACCCAAACCAATTGATGACCGATCAATCCATCGCCGTTTTGGGCTGCGCGGCACCGGCGATTCTTATGTACATTCGGCGATGGCGACCGGCCAACGAAGCCCTCGTTAAGCCACGTTTAGCAGCAGTATCGCCAAATTAAGCTAATAATGTCGTTGCTGCGTTGTGCATGCCGTGCTGCAACGCCGAAAAACGTGGTGATCTGCTCATGCCCACACACCGTACAGTCACTTCCTGTAGAAAAAAAAACTATTGTACATCTAGAGCAAGGCAAAAGAAAATGGTTTCGCCAGACGATGGATCGGACGACGATATCGTTGAAAAATCACAAGCTGTAGGGTTATGTTAGACCGTGGATCAGCCACCGATCATTGGCCTAGCTAGCTTAGCCTAGTAATTATGGAGGGGCAATGGGGCATTAGTTATTATATATAGTCGCTCATAAAATTCCTGTCATATCGAATGTTTAGATGCTAATAAGGAGCATTAAATATAGATTAATTACGAAACCAATTACATAGATGGAGGCTAATTTGCGAGACGAATCTATTAAGCATAATTAGTTCACGATTTGACAATATGATGCTACAGTAAACATGTGCTAATGATGAATTAATTAGGCTTAATAGATTCGTCTCGTGAATTAGTCTCCATTTATGTAATTAGTTTTATAATTAACTCATGTTTAGTCCTCCTAATTAGCATCCGAATATTCGATGTGACAGAAATTTTAGGAGCGACTAAAGAACCAAACACCCCCAATATATAGGTGGGTTGTCTTTCTCTGAGGGATATTTAACTACTCAAATGCATGAGGGCACTCCCAATGTAGAAACCACTATAGTTTTTATAGACATTAATTGTACTGCCACCTAAGCGTTTTGATGATGTGGTAAGATAATTATTGAAGAGAGAGAACAAAAATCATAGAAATCGGGTCTAAATTAGAAATCATGTCTACACGAGAATCAAAACATGAAGGGACATGATTGGTAGAAAATAGAGAGATAATATATGTGATTAGATAAAAAATTGTTCTGTAGAAATTATCCATCGAGGATCATGGTTTCTATATGTAGTGTCTATATAAATTAATAGATATAGAAATTATTCATTTCTAAGTATTGATCTTCTATTCTCCTTCTCCGCATCTGACGCATGAGAAAGTAAGGAGACCACACAGAGCTTGTATGTGTGCTGCATCTGCAATTCCATATGCAATAAAACTACACCCATAGTGCCACACAGGCAGCTCATTGCTCTGCATCTTTGGGCTTTAGCTTGCTCCTCAGCCTTCATTGACTTGTTGGTATCACAACTTGCAGGTAAACGAGGGCAAGTAGTAGAGAGACCAGTGGTTAGGGCGTCTTAATTACCGCGTGGCGAAATGCACATGCCGCAGCAAAAAAGCTCTTGTAGTCTTTGCGTGTTTAGTTCCACCCCAAATTTCTAAAAAAGTGCTACAGTATCTATTACATCGAATCTTGCGATATATGCATGGAGCATTAAATGTAGACGAAAAAAAACTAATTGTACAGTTTGGTTGAAAATTGTGAGACGAACGTTTTAAGCCTAATTAATCCATGATTGAACATTAATTACTAAATAAAAACGAAAGTGTTACAGTAGTCCAAATTTCCAAATTCACCTAACTAAACACGCGCTTGTTTGACCTCAACAATAAAAGAAGATGATAACATACTCTAGCATGGAAAAGAAGCTCGTGATCCGGGCTCTGCTGGCATTCTGGCAACCTGCACCTACCGAGACGCATTTGTTTTTACACGAGAGGAATCGGAACGCACTCGATCACTTGGTCATTTTCTTTTTGGGCCCCGGCCGGAAGTAGTAGCACCGACGGAGGTGTGGAGGACGGACAGGCCAGGCCACGGCCAGGGTCCAGCAAGCAAGCAAACCGAGTCCGTTTTACTTGGAGACATGCTATGCAACGTACTTATTTTAGCCCCCTGCAGCAGAGTGAACTCAGCATGTAAGTACTGCTAGAATCATTCATACTGTCACGTAATCTGGCGGTTAAATACGGACATGTCACACGTACAAGCTGCGAATAAACTTTTGACCGCAGGCTTTTCAGCCCAAAATCTCATAGGCCGATAGAAACGACCAATGCACACAGGAATCCGTGTCGACCGTGGAATGGCCCCCAATCCGCAAGGGGCTCAAAAAGCTTGGCGGGCACCGTGAAAAGCGCCCGAAACCGGCAGAAATGCTCGCGCGCGGAGGCGAAAACCGCGGACATCCGCAGCGTTGTGCCTTTTCGCCTGCTTACGCTGCCACGCGCCGCCTTCAGGTTCGGTCTCGGCTACCTGGCTGTATCGCTGCCTCGTCGCCCGGCTGGTTTACACCGGACAGGACACTGGCATGGCCCTGCCGCCGACTGCCCGACCACCGACACGTTCCCTCCTTTTTCCTGCCCGCCTGCCAGCCTGTGCGCGCGCGCCGCCGCACCCACCGACACCGCCTCCGTCGGCTGCCAGCCTGGCTCTGGCTCTGCCCCACCCAGGCACCCTCTCACCGCTCTCTCTCTCGGCTCACTTATTGGCTCAAGCTCTCTTCCCACACACCTCTCTCACTCTGCTTTCTCTCTCGACATACAAAGTAGGGAAAAACAACACACCCAAAAGAAAGGCTCACACCACCCACCTACTCCTCCATCCTCTCGCTGTCTTCCCCAGCCAACAAATCGACCTAGCTGGGAACAAGAGAGAGGGCTAGAGACAGAGGCAGAGGAGGGCAGCGCACCACGCACCACCGAGCGGTAGCAGCGGCGGCGGCGGCGGAGGAGGAGGAGGAGGAGGCAGGGCAATCCGCAGGGACCAGAGGCCGCGCGCGCAGGCATGGGCGCGCCGGTGCACGGCGCCCTCGTCTTGTTCCTCCTGCTCCTGGCGGGGTCAGGGGCGGCGGCCGAGGAGACGGCGCCGCAGGAACCCACATTGCCCGCAGCCGGCTCTGCCGGCGCGGCGGCGGCGGCGGTCGGGGTCAACTCCAATTCCGTGCTGGTGGCGCTGCTGGACTCGCACTACACGGAGCTGGCGGAGCTGGTGGAGAAGGCGCTGCTCCTGCAGACGCTGGAGGACGCCGTCGGGAAGCACAACGTCACCATCTTCGCGCCGCGGAACGAGGCGCTGGAGCGGGACCTCGACCCGGAGTTCAAGCGCTTCCTGCTGGAGCCGCGCAACCTCAAGTCGCTCCAGGCGCTGCTGCTCTACCACGTCCTCCCCTCGCGCCTGCCCTCCGACGCCTGGCCCGCCGCCTCCCACCCCACGCTCTCCGGCGAGGAGGTCGAGCTCGCCGCGGCAGGGACCGGCATGCGCGTCGGCCACGCCGCTGTCACGCGCCCGGACGCCGTGCTCAGGCCCGACGGGGTCATCCACGGCATCGAGCGCCTCCTCGTCCCGCGCTCCGTGCAGGAGGACTTCAACCGCCGCCGCAGCCTCGCCGCGATCTCGGCCGTGCTGCCCACGGGCGCGCCCGAGGTCGACCCCAGGACGCACCGCCTCAAGAAGCCCGCGCCGCCGGTTCCGCCCGGCGCACCCCCCGTGCTCCCGATCTGGGACGCCATGGCGCCCGGACCCTCCATCGCCCCCGCGCCCGCTCCGGGGCCGGGCTCTGGGAAGCACCACTTCGACGGGCACAGCCAGGTGAAGGACTTCATCCAGACGCTGCTCCTCTACGGCGGCTACAACGAGCTCGCCGACATCCTCGTCAACCTCACCTCCCTCGCCACCGAGATGGGCCGCCTCGTCTCCGAGGGCTACGTCCTCACCGTGCTCGCCCCCAACGACGAGGCCATGGCGCGCCTCACCACGGACCAGCTCAGCGAGCCGGGGTCGCCGGAGAACATCCTCTACTACCACATGATCCCGGAGTACCAGACCGAGGAGTCCATGTACAACGCCGTGCGCCGCTTCGGCAAGGTGCGCTACGACACGCTGCGGCTGCCGCACAAAGTGGTGGCACGGGAGGCCGACGGCTCCGTCAAGTTCGGCCAGGGCGAGGGCTCCGCCTACCTCTTCGACCCGGACATCTACACCGACGGCAGGATCTCCGTGCAGGGCATTGACGCCGTGCTCTTCGCGCCAGATGACACCAACGCCACACAGACCGCCGACGCGAACAGGAAGCCTCCCGCCATCGTCACCCACAAGAAGAAGATCAAGCTCCGGCGAGGTCAGTACCTTCAGATCTGGACTTGGTCCTTTCTGTCCTGCTCGTATCATTACAGATTGCTCAAAAGTAGCCCACCACATTGTCCTTGTTTCAATAATAGCACCGAAATTTACAGCTCGTAATCTAGATTGGGGGAGGTTTGTAGATTAATTTCGCAACTGATTGTTAACATCAATCAACGCGAGCTGATCAGACTTAGTGGTCAGAATGTTGTCGGTGAGGGTACCGGTGAGTGTTCCGATCCTAGCGGCCAGGATTAATAATTTATCAGCTGGTGGGTGATGAGTACCGGGTAGTAGAATAAAGACGAAGGCGTTGACATAAATAAAATAGAAGCAGCAATTAGGGTTCCTTACAGTCCAATTGACATGGCCGTATTGGAGGGTTATGGGACTGTCGGTGCCCGTTTGGACATTTTCTACCATGACTGAACCAACCAATATTACTGTAGTTTCTGTAGGTTTGTTATGCTGTCTCAAATTCTCTCCTTCTGTAGTACTGGCCAACGTGTGACCACCGTGAAAACCTGGATGTGAACTGAAGCAATAGTGATGGTTGAGCATATGCTGGTGGCCGGTGGGTGGTTGCCTTCAGCATCTTTTTGATGGCTGATACCGTTCCTGGGACTGCAAGCAACACTATTCTTTAACCCATGACACATGAGCAACAATTTTGCCCTTTTGCAAAGCATGAAAGTCTCATGCCGAAGCCTTGGTCACGTCCTTGTTGTCATAGTTTTGGTGGAATAGTAGCTAAATAAATTGGTTATGCTTAGAGGTAGGGCAAGGCCGAATTGTGTGCCTTGCAGGGGAAAATAGCGATAGTTGGTAGTGTTCAGGCTGCAGAAACTGATAAATGAATGGAATCAAAATCTGGCCTGTGTTAGAGAGGGAAAACCTAAGAAATATACATATAAGCTGAATTAGACAGCTCAATTCAATCCAAGCCACTAAACCTCTGTAGGCCTTGGTTAGCATTTATTGTGAAATCAGATGGCTACTCAAGATTGGGTACTTGGGAGCAGGAATATACCAAAACCTTCTAAGAATGTGATGTGTCTGAAGGGCAGGGACCTAAAAAATCATTAGGCCAGTTCTCCACTGTTGAAACGAAAATTCTCTTGCAATAGCCCTTGCATCATGATCAGGAGATTCTTCCTCAATGACATTATAGGATTGCGACATAGCAAATTGGCAATGCTGATTGCATAATTTGATACGTTTAGGCTGTCTCCAATAGGATACCCATTAGGAGACCTAAATCCAAAATGGGTCTGGAACGCAATACCTATAGCTTTCAATAGAGTACCTATATGGAAGACCCGTTTTTTGGGTGTCAGGAGAGGTATAACCCAAATCTGAGTATCTTCTCTCCTGGAGACCCATTTACAGAAAGGGTTCTTTTTAGGTCTTGTTGTTGGAGAAGATAAAAAATGAGTATTGAACCCTTTTGCCTGTAGCGCTATCCAAATGTGAAATGGGACTTGTATTTTGGGTAATGGTTGTTGGATAGTCTAGCCTTTTTGGGTAATCTTCAGTCTCCGCCCTGTATTTTCAATTCCACATGATTTTGATACCAGGTCCATTCCACCTTCCATAGATGGTTTTTATTCGTTCCTGCTTGTAGCCTTCGAAGCCAAGTTACCATCGGCCGGGGTCATGTCCCTTGAGCATGAAAAAAAAATAGTATATGTTTTAAAATCTGCAAGTTTTCTTTGGCATAGGCATCGGGTGCTGTCCTGCTGATTTGACAGGTTATCTGTTACAGCATAATCTAGCGTTTATTTTTGCAACTTTCTACCAAAGTATTGTTTCTTCTGTTGGGCACCATGTCGGTGTCATTATTTTCTTAACCATGCAGTTAGCCTCACGCTTTTGTTCCCCAACTAAACACACTGCAGGCAAGTTGTTAGAAGCAACGTGCCAAATGGCTGGGTTCTTCGGTCAGCGATCGCGATTCGCAAGCTGCCAGTAGATGGAGAAAGGATTTGATCTCGATGATACCGAAAGACGAACGAACTGATGATGGGCTGGCGCTGGAGAGGGAGGAAGCCGTCCACATTATTATTTGTTTTTTTCTTTTTTGTTTATTATGAGAATAATATTGAATGAATCAGGTGGGGGGATGTAAACTCGGTGGGTTGTTGGTGTGTCCAGAAAAAAAAAAGGAGAAAAGGCAGAAAAAAATTGTCCATACATGAACAAGCCCAGGGTCGTCGTCTGTGTATAACAAGGAATTAAAAACGTTTTGTTTTTCTGTTTTTTTTTCTGTCATTCTTTGCTTCTGTTCCCGTTTTGACAATGAGAATATCGGGTAAACACACGATCATTCTTACTATTATTCTTTTTTCCCTCTTTTTTAATATATATTTTTTTCGTGAAGATATTGTCGCATTCGTCGTGATCACTAATTTGTAAGATTGCGACTGCGAGGCTGTGTGATGTGTGTCTGGGTGCCCCTGCGCTGCACTCGCAAGAGTCGTGACTGTGGGGAGGAATCTTTTGGAGAACATGATGGGGTTAGGCCCCGTTTGCTGGTCTAATACTGTTTCGGCTGAATTGTTGTGAGAGAAAAATATTGTTTTGGCTAAAAAAAGGAGCCGAATAAACCGAATATGAGGTAAGCAGAACAGGGTCTAAGGCCCTGTTTAGTTCCCTCTCAAAATACCAAATTTTTCAAGATTTTCCGTCACATCGAATCTTTGGACGCATGCATGAAGCATTAAATATAAATAAAAAATAAAACTAATTACACAGTTTAGACGAAATCCACGAGACGAATCTTTTAAGCCTAATTAGACTATGATTGGACACGAATTGCCAAATAACAACAAAAACGCTACAGTGTCATTTTACCAAAAATTTCGACAACCAAACTAGCCCTAAACCAAAGATGCTCCAAGAAGCTACTGGTGCTATTAGGGGATGTTGGGATCCGGCCACTAAAATTTAGGATAGGGGTGTCGCATGGGGTGTTCGAATACTAATAAAAATACAAATTACATAATCCATTAATACTCCACGCGACGAAAGTATTAAGCCTAATTAATCCATCGTTAGCATTTATTTACTATAGCACCACATTGTCAAATCATGGACTAATTAGGTTTAAAAGATTCGTCTCGCAAATTAGTCATAAACTATGCAATTAGTTTCGTAATTAGTCTATATTTAATACTCCATGCATGTGTCTAAACATCTGATGGGACAACTACTAAAGTTTATGAGGAGAAACCAAACACCCCTTAATCAAGCAGGCAACAGCTAATGCCGGATGGCTTTGCAATTTGCATGATTGTATACTACTTTCTATGATCAAGGGTCTAGTGGCGAACAACTAAGGTCTGCTTCCTGCTATACTACCGGTAACGGTCCGTTTGACAGTGAGGAAAACGCTAGTCCTCTACAACATAACAGACAGAATGGCAGGTAACCTTGCTGTAAACCGAAGATACTGCTGAAGACTGTAGGTGCAGCTATTCTGGTAATCAGTGGTCACTTGTCGCGTGGTCCCGACGGGCGATGCACGCTAACGGTAGCATCCGGGTTTAACGGAAGGACCACGGGTTTGTGTCCCAGGAACAGCCGGACAGGAAGTCAGGAACGGACCCTGAACGGCTGAACCCATCGTGCAAGTGGGCGTTGCTGGTGTGGTGGAGGCCGAGCCGAGGGTGAAAACGTTTTCACATCATGACATGACCACCGCTGAGGCGGTGATTGAGAACTCCGTCAGGGCCATGCACGTTAATCGCCAACTCCGGCACAAAAGCATCCACCGCCCATCGCCACGGGAATCCAGACGGCGGCTACGTCGGGGCGTTGGGCTGCCAGCTGCTGGGTTGGTGGCTGGAGAAGGCCACAGATCAAGATGTCAACGGGCATCGTTCCTGATTCCCGTGGGGAATTCACCTATTAGAAGACAGGAATGGTATAAATTTTTTTCTAATGAGAAATTAAGTAGGGAAAAAATCATCCCCATTAGGTATGACAGGGTTAGGGATTTGGATACATGGGCCCCCGATCACCTATTAGGAGACAGGGGGATAAATTTTTTCCAATGAGAAAAATGGGGTTTAAGGCCCATTTTGAGAAGGTCTAATGCCCCCGTCCCCCTACTTACATATATCATTTGAGGCAATTCCCTTATATATATATAAGGCAATTTGTAACCCTAACCTTATCCTTTTCATTCATTCCCAATCCCCTCCCCCTAGCCGCCGCTGCCGCTCCCTAATCCCTATCGTGAGTTCGTGACTCGTGAGTCGCGACTCGTAGACCCGGTGCCGCCGCCGCGGCCACTCCACCTCCAACAGCCACTCCATTCCACTGACCACTTGCAGTCACCGGAGATGGGAAAAGAGGACCAGACGCTCACCGGAGATGGGGGCTGGCGAGATTGTAGCTGCTTCTCACAGTCGTGCTCGCGCCTCTCCAGCAGCTCACCGTCGGATCCACACCACCAGGTCTTTTCTCTGAGGAAGGCAATGCTTTGTATGGTGAGTAGCTTTCTGGTACCAGGTCTTTTCTCTGTGCTTGATGTGGGGATGGGGATCCCCGCGGGGATTAAATCCCCGAGCGGGGACGAGGACGGGGAAGAAGTGCTCCCCGCGAGATTTCACGGGGACGGGATGGGACAGTAACACACGATGGGAAATTCCCCATTGACATTTCGAGCCACAGAATCCCGTCAGAGCTCGGCGAGCAGGTATCGCGTCGCGTCACCGACGCGCACGGCATATACTAGTAGTATATATATAATAGTATCAGACAGAGATAGACAGACATGGCACATATGCACGCGACATGAAACAAAACCGTTTGGAACCAACGCCCTGTTCGCTCGGGCTATAAATGTCTATGCAGCCCGAGGCACGACGGCACGGCACGAAGCCCGCTTTTTTAGCCCGACACGAGCACGGCACGGCCCGGTGACATGCTAGCCCGACCCGAGGTAGCAGGCCGTGTCTGAGCCGCTGCTCAGGCCCGTGGGCTGGCACGGCACGGCCCCGCCACCCCCTCCCCCTCCTCACTCCACTACTCCCCTCCCGGCCTCCCCGCGTCCCAGCGTCCTCCGTCCCCGCCTCCCCCCTCCTCATATATAAACGCACGCCGCGGCCGCGGCGGCTCACACCCGAGAACCCTAGCTCATTTCACTCGCTCGCCTCGCCTCACTCTCGGGTCTCGCCCTCGCAATCTCGCTCTCGGCTTCGTCCTCCCCGACTCCGGTGAGGTGACCTCGACAAACCGCCTGCCATCGGCGAGCAGCTCCCTACTCCTCCTACCTGATCCTCTCCCTGTTCCCTCTCCGCCTCTCCCTTCTCCTTATCCCTATCTCCCCTCTAGGTCTCAGTGACTATGTGAGTTTGTGTCCCCGTCTGCCCCTCCTCCGCCGCTCGCCGTCCTTCTAACCGGTGTGTCGTCTTCTCTGGGTGGCCCTCGTCTTCTCTGGCACCAGGCTCCGGTTGCGCAGGTACATCCCTAACCCTAACCCTAACCCTAACCCTAACCCCGCCTGCCGCTGACGAGCAGCTCCCTAC